ATATAGTTATGTTAGTTTACCAGATGGTACCACCTTTTGTCATAAATTGTCACTGAAATTCTGGGATCTTCGAATCCTAGAGACGAACACTCCGAACTCCGAACTCAGGGCGTGAAATTTGAGGCTAGTGAAATCTTATAACTTACCCAGAATATATAAGTTATATGGGAGATTCTGGGTAAGTTATAAGGGTTACCTGGGATATACATTTTTTGCATCCCAGTGAGATATATTTTTAGAAATATATAAATGTTATATCCCATTGTATCCCATGAATCGAACTAGTTTTACCATGGCTTCAAAAAAACCAACAAACATAACGTGCAACTGACGGGGGAAGCACATTCATTTTCCCAGCATTTTCCTAGAAGACCACCTAGTGATTTTCCACCCTTCCTCATTGATGGCATCATCTCATGTGATATATCACTATTCATAATATTATACTAACATATACAGATTCATATGATGAAGATTATTAATCATTTCCATGTTCAAAATAAAATATAATTCTATGGTATATAGTATATCATATAAAATTATATAATATTCATCATATACAATGCCTTTTCCCAGAAGATTCATATGATGTCATCCCTCCACCTCCGAGGTCCTCAACCCCTTGACCCGTCGCCTGATCTTCGAGTCCAGCACCGGCCGGGCGGTCTCGCCTTTGACACGGCAGCAGGCGTTGGTTGCCGGGAAATCTGATGGGAAAATGCATCGAAATGGACTCAACTCACGTGGGTTTCTTGTTTTTTTTTGGAATGATTTTTCTTGCGGTTGGTGAATTTTTTGGGATTTTTGGAGACTTTGTTGCACGAACAAATCATGCAAAAGGGGTGCCCAAAACTCGAAAACAATGGTGAAATACCGTACTGAAAAATCGAGGGAGAGCACACCACAGGACAAATACAACATACATTTAAAAACAGCACATGTGGAAAACATGGAATCATCATATTGACCATCGAACGGAGGAATATAGCATCCTGTAACTTGAAACTTTGAAGGAAAACAAAGAAGATAGTATACTATAGTATACTATGAAAATAGCATACAATCCCGCAAGAAATACTATCAAACTAGCAAGATGATGTAAGATGAGTGTTTCTTATTTCGCCAGTTTGAAAACAAAGAAAGTCCCGACCATTTTTCTGTGCAGGACGAGGAAATTAGGCATGGGGAAGATCTGTTTGGTTTCCAAATCAATAGCAGATTGGCAAAGAATTGGGAACTTTTGGAACTTATGGAACTTGTCTTCAAGAATTGGGAACTTTTGGAACATCAAAAAAACACATCCTTGGAACATTTGAGGAAAAATGATGTTCACTAATCAAGCTAGCATCTTTAAACTTTAATGGAGATCTAACCCACCATTTTTTTGGCCTGGATGACAGCCGAACGATGAGAATCGTGTTTCGTTGTTTTTTAATGCCATGAGAATTAGAATTTCAGTTCCCAGTGGAAGAAGCGGTGTTTCTATATGGGGATGGGTCAAAACCTATATCAATTTTAGTGGGATGACCATCCATAAATCCCAGCTATGACTTGGGGTTCACAATTTCTGGCCTTTTGACCCGTGTTTTTCTACGTTGTTTCCGGGCGGGGACAGGTGGATAATTTCAAGCTCATGCCCAGCTTAACGGAGTCTGAAGCTTGGGTGGACTTTGTGGTTCCTCGACAGTTCAAACTGCGGCGACGGTTTGGTTTGTTTTTGTGGATTGGGAGGCTAGGCTAGTCATGGGGGTTTCCATAGTCATGGGGGTACCCCAATAGCTGGATGGTTTGTAAGGGAAAATCCGGAAAATCCGATGAAACTCGATGATTTAGGGGTATCCCTATTTCAGGAACCCCTCAAATGCCTTCTGAGAAAAAGAATGCCCGGCCGAAAAATCCAGTCACATGTTTCTGAAGGGCAGGCTAGCAGAACATCCTGGAGTTGCGCAGTTTGTCGATCGCAAATCCAAGACATTCAGTTTTTTCCAGTTAGTTGCTTTATAAACCAGAGGAGTATATAACATTGTATAACTATAGAGATACAATATATCATATCAATATATCATATCTACAGTAAACCCAACAGTCATTGGAGTTTTCTCCAGCAATTTCGCCATGTTTGGTCGCGAACTCAGCGATCTCAGGACTGGAATTGCGATGGCCATTTGGACATCCAAGAGGCACACTTCAGCGAGATAAATCGTGCCAGCCCTTTCCCAATAATGTATCTCTATATATCATGAATATAGATATGTAGAAATACTATCTGATTATATATGTGTATTATCTATATCAATGTATATCAATGTGTATATTATATTTAATATTATATATACTATATAATATTTTTCAATATACAATATACATTAGCAATATTATATAGTCAAAGGAAATCGAGCGGAAATTGATATGCAAAGGACTGGTGGATCTGTGATCTTCTAAAATCTGGAGCCCCTAAAGACCAAAGGAGAATCAGGCCTGGCAGGTACGCCCTGAGTGCAAAATCTGGAATTTTGGTGATGTTGCAGCTCTTTTTTTCCAATCTTACATTCGAGATCTTGGATTGTTTCGTGGATATAGCAACGATTAAATTTGTTCAAGAAAGAAACCTCACTAATTTTTTTCCCAGTCAACTTCTCCTTTTGGTCGCAGAGAACGTCGCCTTTAGAACCAATCTGTTCTGCATTGTTAAACAAATGAGTTCATGACCATAACTGCCATAGCTATATGTAGGACCAATTCCATGCCACCAGTGGCCCCTGCCACCCCTCTGTTGGGAGCATCGCCAGGTGTGTTTTACAGTGGCCGCACTTCTCCCAGCGGCTTGGACCCAGATCGGCCTTGGCCAGATTTCTCTGATGTTAAACAACAGACATAGACAGACATAGGAAAAAAAAGAAAACCAGCTGGAAATTGATAATGTTTTGGAATACTCCAAAAATTGGCTGAATGTGATTCATGTTCACCTCATGGTTTCTGGTCAACCTCATACGTGATGCTGTGATGCTTCGTCTTCTCCGGTCTTCAAAAAAACCCTGTTACGCCGGAGAATCCCCAATGACGTTTTTCACTGTCGATGATTTTCGTGATAGGATTACCTCAGGGTGATCTGATTGGCGGTTGATCAGAACTTCTCCATGCAGACTACTTGGCAAGCATCGTTTTGAACAATTTTTAGTGATACTGATATCAAGTTATATAGCCATCTGTCTATTGGTTGCTTCCTGTTCATCTATTGCTTGACTGGTCTCCACTTATCTATTGATAATATATCATATACGTATACATATATATGATTATATATGTTGGCTGTAATTTTGCAATTTAAATGATTTATTGGTGTGTTTGGTTTATATCACCAGTATGATCACCAATAATAAAATTTATGGTGAAATCCCCCAAAACTCTGTTGCTTACACTCACAAATTCCGACCCTGCCATGAGTCTGGGGTTGGAAGAATCATATGGAAGATCAGTAGTTTCCCTAGAACTCGGCCGATAGAACAGTGTCGAAGTGTTGATTTGGAGGAGAACATCATAGGAAAATCATCTGATCATATGGAAAATTTGAGGATATAGATGTTTATATATATATATATACAAACATATATAGTTGTGTATATTTATATGTATATACAAACATATATATATATACAAACATATATATGTACATATATATATATATACAGGGAAATTACCCATTGTTACGGAATATCATGGTTAATTTCCCCTCCCCCCACGGCGTCTGGGATTCAAGGTGGATGAAGCCTACGCGCGGAAGTTTGTGCTGCGGGTGCGGGGAACTCCCGAAGACGACTGAGCCCCAAATGAAGGTTTCCTGAAATAGGGGTACCCCATGGTACCCCCATTTATCATCCATTTTAATAGGATTTTCTATTATGAATCATCCGTTTTTGGGTTCCCCCATTTATGGAACCCCCCAAATGAAGGTTAAAGGTTAGGATCAAGGGAATCATCCCCAAACTTTTCAGTCGGGGAATCAGCCATCATTTCTGATCAGTCCGAAATTGTCGAGACGCATTGTTAAAACATTGTTAACCACAAACTTGTTCAGTTGTACTTTTTTTGGTATTAGCTTGAGGTGATTGTGGGCACAAAATGGCCAGATTCAGTTTTTTTTTTTTTTCTGGGGCAAAGCGATCCAAACATCGAATTTGTGTGGACAGTGCGTTGTTTCGAAGATTCGAGAAAAAAACAAACAAAACTCCAGGTTTGTTTTTTTACTTTTGGATATTTTCTTACTTGGCGTTTTACTTCCTAAGTGCTGAGTTTTTTCTTTGGACATTTTCTGGCTTGGTGTTGTCCTGTTCCCTGCATTTTTAGGGACAGGAATCACAGGTCATCAAAAGCCATACTCACCGCGTTCGTCGATGTTCGCAGGTCATGAATTTACCAGAAGATTCCGAGGAAAAACACGAACTGGACAAACAGGAGGCGACGTCACTGGAATGTCACGGGAATGGTTCAAGTACCATCTGGTTATTTAACATAGCCATGGAAAATTTGATAGGTAAACCATCTATTTCTATGGGCCAGTTTCCATGGCTACGTTAAATAACCAGAGGGTAGTAGGGCTAGGTCTAGGTTGGGGTACAACTGGGCCCGTTGATCCAGATGGCATGCCATTTCCACCTGGAATTCTACGAATCGGGAGGACCTCCTGGAAATCGGACCAAGTAATTACAACCTATGCATGATACATCAAGATACCACACACACACTGATCGCTAGAATATGTATTGTATGCATTGTATGAATGTTTGACTACAATCCTTTCCATCCAACGTGACTCGCCTCGATACTGTAGTCCTCGAGCTGCAATTCTGTCGCTGAGAGGGCCACGGGAGACGTCCCATCTTAAACCATCTTAAACCCAACAATAAATTTCCAATTTTGGCGGGCTTATAAACATTTATATTCCCAGCTATTTCTGGTAAAATGCGGGACGTTTTCATTCATCTTCATTTTGCTTGAACAGTCGGATACCAGCCTGGTTTTCGTATGGTCCAAAAGAAACTCGGCTATACCTCATTTCCTCTGGTTTAAGCACCAATATTTGTCACTTAAAAACCGTAGCTTGAATGCGCGTATCCACATTTGCATTGGTTTAAATCACTTTTTGAAGCCAACCTTTGTTACTCGTATGTAAACCCAATTTTCGATTAGTTTAAAGTCTGTTGAATCTGCGTTGCTTTGCAGTGCATCCAGATTTTTGGTTGGTTGTACCCCAAGGAAAGTTGGGTTTGGTTGAAGAACAGTTATGCATCCACCTACGGCTGAATCATCATTTCCGTGTTAAATTGCCAGTTGGGGGGATTTGCGGAGTATACCCAAATTTTCGACCCAACTCTAGATATCTCTAGATGGCACTTGGGCAAACTCCAATTGAAACCGCTCATTGGGGTCATGGTCTTCGTGATTTGTCGAAGTATTTACCAGACATTTGTTGAATTCTGTTGATTTCTGTGAATTGATCTTCAATTTTGTTCCCAGATTCTTGATGCTCCGACGTTGGATCCTATTCTGAAGATCTTCGATTACAGCCCAACAAAATCCTAGGATCGATTTCGCAGAGCCCATGGCTGGGTAAACTGATCCCAGAAGTCACTAGAAGTTGATTCAACTGAGCAGTGTTCTTTGAACCCTGTTTGCTTGATCAATCCAGGGATTATCTTCTAGCCTTCAAAAATTCATTGGGTTTTTTCAATCCAAGAACGGGGAATCCCAAGGTCCCAAGCCTGGGATTTTTCATGGAGATCCACTGATCCAATCTTCCAGGGGATTACCTCTGTTCATGGTGCCCTTATAACTGTGCACCCGTCAGTTTTTTGAGTTGCTAAAAATCCACCTATCTACTGTGTTCTTGTTAGCGAACTTGTTTTAAGTTTAAGAAACGCTTTGGATTTTTTTGCATAAAAATAACCCACTTAGAGCAGCAAAAATCTGATAGATTTATGAATATACGATGAACAGATAATCGTTTGTTGTTTTCACATGTTGATAAAATGATGTGGAAGAACCCTTACGTGGGGGTGCCCCAAGTTGTTCTTTCGACAAAAAGACTTTTGGGGCACCCATGGCATCCCTCTTATGGGAACGCTCTGGGCTTCCACTTTTGGGACCACTAGGGATTTTCTAAACTTCAACATCCCCACATCTTTTTGTCTTAAGATCTACCACTCGAAACATCTGAACAGTTAAAGCAACCAACGCATGGAAACCAATTCTTATCGATTTCAAGTTTGCATGTATGTGTTCATGCAAGCACTGAAGAAGTGCTAAAATCGTTTATTGCAAGATAAACATGAAACTGAAGAAGTGCAACATCATGAAACTTTGACCTCATGCCAATCTGTCCACTTATCTATGAATTAAACAACTGATCTTCACTGATATTATATACAATGTGGTTAAAACAATACTAAACCACCACCATTTTTGATGGTTTATACCACCCATAAAAATGGTGATGACTGGGGGATGGTTTATGATTGTTTTGACCACATTAATACATATACTGGTTGGTGGTTTGGAACATTTTTTATTTTCCATAATATATGGGATAATCCTTCCCATTGACTTTCATATTTTTTCAGAGGAGTTGAAACCACCAACCAGATGATGATATATGTACCTTGTGGTAAACTAACATAGCTATTCAACATGGCAATTTATAGTGGATTTACCCATAAAACATGGTGATTTTCCATAGTTATGTTAGTTTACCAGAGGGTATAACATTGCATATTCATGGTTACATCACCACTGGTGGAATTGCACCAAGTAAGGGAATATTTTTCAGAGGAGTTGAAACCACCAACCAGTTAAAGGGGGTGACCATTTTTAATACATATATTTTCAAGTATTTCTATGTTGATTTTCCATGATACATATAATTGCCATTAAACATTTTTTTTTATTAAAAATGGTGATTTTCCATAGTTATGTATAATTTACCCATATAATATTAACCCATATAATATTAACCCATATAATATTAACCCATATAATATTAACCCATAATCATACTATAATTGTCCCATAATAATATTCCCATATAATTCTCCCATTATAATTATCCCATAGTTATCCCAGTTGGGATCATTATTCCCCCATTCCCATCCATTCCCTATTAAGCCAGTTGGGATTATAATTTACCCAGATATATTAACTCAAATCATATTAACCCATAATCATACTAAAATGCTGTGTTTCCATAGTTATGTATAATGGATTCACACTATATTAGATAAACACACCATTTTAGTATGGATTCACCATTCATGGATAAACACTAGTTATAATCATCTATAGTTAAAATGTTCCATAGATGATTCATCTCGTATTTTCCGACTGCGCCAGGTCATCCACACGCTTCTGCCGCAGATCCGGCGCCAGCTGCGGCGCCTGGTGGCCACGCCCCGGCCACGGCCTCCGCAGATCTGTCGCAACTCCAAACAGGCCACGGCACGGGGTGGAACCGGACGTGGGCACGGACCGAAACCTCAGGGAAAATTGCGAAAAATGGTGAAAAAACTGGTGAAAACTGGTGAAAATTGGTGAAAACTGGTGAACACATGGTGAAAACCAAAGAGAACAGTGGGATTTTAGATGGAATTTGACCGTGATTCATATATTCATCGTGTATTTCGATGGATTTTGAAGTACTTATATATAGATTTGATATGGATTTAAAATGGATTTATGTGAATGATATATGGATCTACCAATTTGTAGCAACTTTTGGGAAAACGGGATGAAGAAACAAACTGTGGGGACAGAAATAAGGGGGATTAGATGGGACGTAAGATGGGACAATAAAAATAGGCAAACTAGATAAAAACATTTTCATCCTTTGGATTCTTGGCATAAACTGCAACCCCAATTGGCAAACCCACAATTTCTGCTTTTCTCAGGCAGGTTCACCCAGGAGCCGCAAACCGCAACCAGGATGAGTTGGTGGCCTGGTTCCAATTCTGGGACTCCAAGAAGCAAGGCCGGACGGAAAAAAACAAGACCTGGGCTGATAATTGGCTGATAATCAATGGTGATGAATGGTTGATAATGATTAATGATGATAATTAATGATTGACAATGATTAATGGTGATAATTAATGATTGATAATGATTAATGATTATAATTAATGATTGATAATGATTAATGATGATAATTCATGATTGATCATGATTATAATTAATGATTGATAATGATTAATGATGATAATTCATGACTGATCATGATTAATGATGATAATTAATGATTGATAATGATTAATAATGATAATTACTGATTGATAATGATTAATGATGATAATGGTTCAAAGTTTTTGTTTTTTTCCCCCACACGCATTAAACAAACAGGTCCACACGCATTTTTACAGAACCACCTGGTGGAGGTGACCCAATTTGCGGTGGGATTCTGGTTTAGATATGGATCTTCCCGGCAATGCTTCCCTATTTTCCGATGATTTTCCGTGGATAATTTAAACAACAAAATTGTCTGGTTCATGCCCCTCTTCAAACATGATTTGCTGGAACATCCTCCACTTCGTTGGATGGTTTAGTATATATATATATTATATATACACATACACATTATATATATATACACTATATGTATTATATTATATATATGTATGTATATAGGCGCCCATTTTAGATAGGGAATTTGCTGGCGCCATTCCTCGGCAGGCTGCTTGGACACAGCCACCTTAACGCTGGCCGTGGTCAGCACCTTTCACACTGCCCTAGCGCGCTCCGCCGATGCAGCGACCAAGGCAGAAAACAAAAGAGCAGTGGCTGCTAAACCTCTGTTGGTTGATGATTTAAATGGCATTTATATGGGATTTTAACAATCAAACAAATAGGATTATAGTTGATATAGTTGATTCATATAGATGATTATAGTAGTTAAAATGGGATTTTAACCAGGAAAACATGGGGATATTAGTGAATATAACTGATACATGATGGTTGGTTGATGATTAGTTCGGGTATTATACTACCCTTCATATATTGGGGATTATTTCATAATCCAAGAACGGGGAATCCCATTCTAAAGCAACCAGGATTTTTCATGGAATGGTAGTTGGGGATTTATTTCACACTGCTCACATGTTGTGACTGGAAAAATGGACACTCTATTTTGGATGGCATAATAGCAACTTTTACTGGAATGGTCAAAATATCCAAGAGTCGTAGGTGTCCCGTCAACAAAAACATCTTCAAATCAACCAACCATTTGAAAATTAATGAGTGAAACCATCATCAACCTAATATTTAACCATCATCAACCATCATCAACCATCACTAACCATCATCAACCTTCCCTTCTTAGTGAACCAACAATCACCCCAATCAAAGTCTCCGCAATGAGCTGGGCTTTCTTCAGGACGCCGTGGCTCACACCTTTCTGATGGAGCTGGGCTTGAGGGAGACGGACACGGTCACAGAGTCGCAGTTTATGGAGAAGATGGCCCGCGGAGCGGGGGATGGCTGGGGAAACTGTGCATAACTGTGCATAACTGTGCTAATAAATTTATGGATATCTTGGCAATTATGATTGATCACAATCCAATTTTAACTGATATGTTCTTTGGATTCTTTTTTTTTGCATTCCCATTCACCAAGTAGTACTATCGTGAATTCTGCATGTGAATTCTGGAATACTGGATACTTATATGTATACATGTACATTAATGGGGATGGGTTGAAACCTATGATTCACTCGATTTTGGGAGGAGGAACATCCCATTTATCCCAGCTAAATTTTGGGGGTGAACAGAAGGGTTTGACCAATAGCTGTAGGTATATATATATATATATTATATACGTATGTATAAATGTATGTAATTTATGTATACATATATATATATATATGATTATATATGTATATATGACGGGATATAGGGTTCTCACTAGTTGCTACGCCAACCTTTGGCTCAAGAACACCGCTGCTAAAATAGCGAGTTGCATATTCTCCGTTCATGGTAGCGGAGCGATACGCTCCAGGGTCTTAGCAATGGACCAACAACAAGCGGCACAGGTCCTCCAGTCGCTCCAGGAACTACAGACCGAGGTCAATCGACTAAGAGGCCGAGAAGCTGAACTGACAGCACAGGTCGCTTCTTTTGGTGCCGGTTCGGCTGCTTCAGCTGGACCTGGCAGTGCACTGGCACAGTTGGTGCAGTCACAAAAGGAGCTTGTGGACGCCCTTAGATCGAAAGAACAAGTCCGGTTGGTCGACAACAAGGGCCTTGGCAAGCCCGACAAGTTTGATGGGACAGCCGAAAGATTCTTGTCATGGAAAATCAAGACGTCCTCCTATCTTGCAAGTGTTCGCAAAGACCTTCGTGAGATTCTGGTTTGGGCCGAAGATTGCGATCATGCAATCACTGCAGATGACATCGACAAGGCTTTTGGGAGTCAAGCAGATGCCATTGACCAGGTGTCGAACATCAGTGAATTGAGACGCGAGCTTTGGGACGCGCTGCTAATGCTGACAGAGCGTGAGCCCTTTGACATCGTGCTGAACACCGGGGAATGCGGCATCGAAAGCTGGAGAAAGCTCACGCGGAGGTACGACCCATCCACTGGTGGTCGCAAACGCGCTCTCCTCAATGCAATCTTGTCACCGGCTCGATCCAAGATGGAAGATTTGCCGTCCAACCTGGAGAAGCTTCTTGACAGCATCAGACTTTATGAACGTCGCAAAGACGCATCTGGCAACCGAACGATGTTGGCAGAAGACATCAAGATCAACGTGATTGAACGATTGGTGCCGGCAGAGCTCGAGCGTCATCTCGTTCTCAATCGAGATCGCTTCAAGACGTTCGAGTCCATGCTGTCCGAGATCCAGTCCTATGTGGAACATGCCACCGGCAACAAGATCAAGGTGGTGAATAGCCAGCCCTACGACGCACATGGCCGTGGGGACGATCCTATGGATGTCGGAAGCTTTGGAAAAGATGCGAAGGGAAAAGGTAAGGGCAAGAAGGGAGCTGGAGGAAAACCTGGAAAGGGAAATGCAACAGCTGAGAAGAGAACATGTCACAACTGCGGACGCCCAGGACATCTGCGGGCAGATTGCTGGGCACCTGGAGGCCCCAAACATAAGGGGACGGGTGGCAAAGGCAACAGCAATCAGAATAAGGACAAGGGCAAGGGCAAAGGCAGCCCCGGAAAGCACAAGCAGAAGCCCAAAGGAGGCAAATCTGTGAACAATGTCGAACAAGGTGAACCAGAAGCAGAAGACTGGGACGCAGCTGATGGCGACGATGGTCAACAAGCAGCAAATGGTTTAACGCTCTATGGCGTTGATGGGCCACCACATGACGAGGATGACGACGAAAGTTTCCAGGTCGATCCCGAGTCCGAGGAGTCGGAAGCCTCGACAAGTCGCAGAAGGTGGTTTTCTTTGCCTCACCCACGTGCGTCATGGCCTGAAGAGTGGGACGACCCCGACTATGATGGACCGAGTGGATCGAGTGGCTCAAGACCCCTTCGGTCGCTTCGACTGGAGGAGGTCACCGAGCACGAGACCACTACATCCAAGTCCGCGTCTTCCAAGGCACCTCGAACGCCACAGGGAAGACCCAAGAGGGGCAGAAGTCCAAAGAGCTCAACACCAAAGAGAGGCAAAGCAAGCAGATCAGGGCCAGTCACTCCGGAGTCAGCACTCCGACGCTTTCGAATGACTTCGATGACACCACCACCAAGGAGAAGGTTGAGGCATGGGCCACAGACTCCAGAAGAACTTCTTCGTAGCTCTACACCTTTGCCAAAGACACCACCGACACCTATAGCATGGCCTGCATCACCTCCACAACAGCCGATAGCCTCGCCCAAGACTCCACCAGGACCACCACCAGGATGGCAAAGCCAAGTAGCTTCACCCAAGACTCCGCCATGTCCACCACCGGGATGGCAAAGCTCTCAGGTGAAGCCACCACCACCTGTCAAGGCATCATCGGCAGCTTCGACTTCAGGTTCTCGACTTGTCCAGATGCTGAAGGCTGCGCTGAGTTCACAAATCCGCAAAGTCCAAGAAGAAGATCCTGGTTCAGGAGATGGCCAGGCAGATGCGATGTTAGCGGCTTTGAGGACTAGATCTGTCAAGGCACCGCACATCACAAAGCAGAACATCAGCGATCCTTCTTTCCACGACTCGAGATACCATGCCGAGATTGCCAAAGGTGTTGCACACAATGTGGCCTGGAGAAATGAACGTTTGAGAAGACGTGCAATCGTCCACCGACGAGGAGGAGAAAAGGCACGTGCGGCTGAAAGGATTCGACTTGACAAAGAATGGCATGAACGCTTTGACAACCCAGAAAATCCAGAAGGCATAGTGAGAATCGAGGATGAAGACAACTTGGATGCGGGCATCGAGACGGTGGTTGTGGGCAAAGCTGGTCAGAGCACAGTGATAGACTTTTCAATGGAAGAGCGGAAAACTTTGAGGCAGTTCCCGGACGACGAGGCCAAGTTGCTGCGGAAGGATCCCAAGAAGAAACCCATGACCAAGCGTGTTCGAAGCGTTGGGTACAGGGTGAAGAAGAATCGCCACCGCAATGTGGCGCGCAAGATGGCGAGGAAGAACCGACCAGCCTTGGTTCTGAAGGAAAACACTGAAGTGAACGCAGATGAAGATGATGATGAAATGGAAGAGGTCTACATCGAAGAGCCTGATGAGCCTCGAGACCGACCAGGCAGAGGAGACCCCGATGGTGGAGCTGGATCGGCTCCTGCTGCAGTCTACAGCTTGGGGGCCTCTGACGACTGGCGAAAATGGGAACGAGCAGAGTTGAACATCGACACCGGTGCTGCCATCACTGCAGTACCACTTGACTTCGCCAAGGACTACCCGAGGAGCGAGTCCAATGGAGCAAGCTACAAGGCAGCCAATGCGGAACCCATCGAAGATCAGGGAAGTGTGAAGCTGGTGGGATACGACGAATCTGGCAACAAGATCCCAATCGATTGCCGAGTTGCAGATGTGCATCGGCCACTTCTTTCAGGTTCCGAGATCGCCAAGAACTACCACATCGCCCTTGGACCATCTTCGGGGAGATTGATCCCAAGAAACACTCCTGCGGGACGGGCCTATTCGAAGGCCATGAAAGATCTGATCCGAGATTATGGCGATTCAATGCCCATTGTGCACAATCGCCGAGGCATCTATGTGTTGGACTATTGGGTGTCACCTTTTCAGGGGCATCCTCAAGAGGAGTAAGACCACAAATCAACGCTGTTGGCGAGGATCCAGCTGTTTCAGCCGGAGCCGATGCCATGGAAGATGGAGGCGATGTTTCAGCCGCTTCGGCCGGAGCAGGGTCCTCAGGCGATGTTCCAGCTGCTTCAGCCGGAGCAGATGCCTTTGAAGATGAAGTTGATTTGGAAATCGGTGAAGAACAGAGGAAAGCCATTGTGAAGAAAGAACCACATCAACCATCCCAAGCTGAAGTTGACGAACATGAAAGCACTGGACATGTTGTCCATCGGAGCTGGTGCTTGCACTGCAAAAGGGCACGTGTGACTGCTGATCGCCATGTGCCTAAGGAACTTGATGAGCCAGAAACGCAGTTGCCCACGCTGAGCCTGGACTACTTCTATATGAACCAGGACCAGGTTGCGGATGAGGCGACCCTTCCGAGCATTGTGGCGAAGTGCCACAAGACCAAGAGATTTTGGGCGAGCGTTCTCCCGGGAAAAGGGGCGGATGCGTTCGCAATCGCGTGGCTTGGGGGAGTTTTGGATGATGCTGGTTTTAATAAGGTAATCCTTAAGTCTGACGGTGAACCCTCCTTGGTATCCCTTAAACAGAAGGTTAAGGAGATAAAGACCCACATCGAAGTGCACTTGGTGGAAACCCCAGTAGAAGACCATCAAGCCAATGGGTTTATCGAAGTGGGAGTGCGAGAGATAAAACGACAATGTCGTGCTCTCCTCAGCGACCTGGAGTTCAAGCTGGAAAGGAAGGTAGATCCGGGCCATCCACTTTTGGTTTGGCTCCCGCGGCATGCTGCCTTTCTCTTGACGAGATACCGAGTAGGTACTGATGGAAAGACCGCTTTTGAGCGGACCTATGGACGAAAATGGCGGATTCCGCTTGTGAGGTTCGGTGAAAGCATCCTGTATAGGCCGAGGGCCAATCGTGGGGGCAAGAGAAATGACCTTGCTCCAAGGGTATCCATTGGGATGTACGTTGGAACTGGAAACAGAAATTCAGACGTCTTTGTCATGACGGAACGTGGAATCATGAAGGGGAACTCGATCCATCGACACCCACCTGACGATCAGTTCAAACATGATCAGTTTGACTCGCTACGTGGCCTTCCTTGGAGGTTGCAAGAACGAGAACATGGTGGACTGAGGATCGCCCTTCCCGATGTTGCAGCGCCTCGTGAAAGGCCTGCAGTGCAAGAAGTGATCCCAAGGAACCTCTATGTCACCAAGAATGACTTGGAAAAGCATGGGCACACACCTTTGTGTCCTGGATGTGAAGCAGCAATACTTGAGATGCCAAGCCGAGCTCACAATGCTGAGTGCAGACAAATAATCCAGATCGAACTTGACAAGACTCCAGAAGGTCAAGAAAGGATCAAAAGAGCGAGAGAGAGAGTTGCACAAGGCAGGCGCCCAAGAGGCGCGGCTGCACCGCCTGAGGGTGGTGGGGCAGAAGGTGGTGAAGCTACACCACCAGTTGTCCCAGGAGGGGAAGTTGAACAACCAGTCTTGCAAGACCGTGTTCCTTAGGATGCGGAAATGGATGCAAGTGAGGCTGTTGGTGAACCACTGGTCGACACCGATTTTCGTGGAGAACTCAGACAGAGAGAACAAGAAAGAGAAGGAAGCCCAAAGAGGCAGAAACAAGAACAATCCCGAGGAGAGAAAAGGAGTTCACAAGTCGACGTTGAAGATCTTTACAATGAATCTTCAGCTCAGGCTTCAGGGTCAGCCGGACCACCGGCACCGGATGCTTCATCTGGTGTTCCGGAAGGTGCTGCCGCTGCACCAACAAGTCCTGAGACAAACCAGGAGATGCTACATCTGTGTTCCTTGCTCAAAGATGTGATCGCAAAAGGGAAGGTTGCTGAGATCTTCTCTCCACCGCGTGTGGCTGCACAAGCCCAAGTGGTCGGGCTAGCACCTGGCTTCTCGATTGACTTGGAGACAAAGCGTGGTGATGGAACTCACTGGGACTTGAGTAAAGATGAACACATTCGTGATCTGTTTCAACTGCTTGACTATGAGAAACCAGAGTTCCTCGGCGGCTCACCTCCCTGTGGGCCATTCTCGAAGCTGCAAAACATTGTGGATGCGAAGGGCAATGTTTCACCTGAAGTTCGAGCGCAGAGACTAAAAGATGGTCGCAAACATCTGCGCACGGCAGTTTCAGCGTATGAGCATCAAATGAATGCTGGAAGGTACTTCTACCATGAGCACCCTAAAGGGGCCGCTTCGTGGGAAGAGAGAGCTGTGAAGAGACTGAGGGCAGATGAACGGGTGTATGAGGTCACTGGACCAATGTGCCGTTGGGGAATGAAGGCCGCCGATGGCCAAGGTGAAGGGTCAGTGAAGAAAGAAACTACCTGGCTCACGAACTCTCCAATCCTGGCACAGACCCTACAAGGGTGCTGTTCAAACAAAGAAGGCAAAGTTTGGCACCGCCATGTACATCTTGTTGATGGACGAGCCCGAGCTGCCCAGAAATACCCACCAAAGCTTGTCCACGCAATTCTCAAGGCCATTAGGCGCCAACTGGAATGTGATGGAGAACTACACTCACTTTCACATGGCCCAGTACCCGATGCTGGACCTGTGATCAATGAAGAGGAGGAGTTTTGGAAGCAGCTGCCCGACAGCGATGACACCATCGTGGAGCCAGTGCTTGACGCACACTCCGGTGCTGTCTTGGATGTTGACAAGGTCAGAGCTGCTCGACAAGAAGAACTAGCATGGGTACACAAACAGGGTATCTATATCAAAGTTCCACTCACAGAAGCCCAACAGTCTGGAAAACCGGTCATCACCATGAAATGGATTGACAGAAACAAAGGGGATGCAACACACCCCAACTACAGGTCACGTCTGGTCTGTAGAGAGATCAAACGGGCCAGCAATGCTGACTTCATTCCGGACTATGCGTCCTTCAGTTCGATGCCGCCTTTGGAATCGCTGAAATTGCTTCTATCGCTTATGGTGACTTTGAGACGATCCAAGTCTGGCAATGCACTGAAAGTTCGTCTTCTTGACATATCACGCGCTCACTTCTATGGAGAGGCAGAGCGTGATATCTTCGTGCAGTTACCTGAAGGAGATCGACAAGAAGGGTTTTGTGGCAAGCTCGTTAAGAGCATGTATGGAACACGCGATGCATCAGCGATCTGGCAAAGATCATATACAGAACTTCTCATCCGAGCTGGTTTTGCCAAGAATCAAGCTTGGCCATCCTGCTTTTACCATGAAGGTTACGGTGGTATTCGAGTTCTTGTACACGGAGATGACTTCGTGGTGCTTGCTGATGATGCTGGACAGAAATACCTTGAGGACACCTTGAGGTCCAAATATGATCTGCGGGTCGATGGATCGATCGGTCCTGGAGAACGGCATCAGCAGTTCGCAGTGCTCAATCGAATCGTGACCTACAACGAGCAGGAAGGCTCTGTATCCTATGAGGCGGATCCCCGCCACGTTGACCAGATGGTACGAGATCTAGAAATGGAAAACTGTAAGCCAGTCAAGACACCATCTGAGAAAATGTCAGCCACGGAGGCCAACTTGAAGTTGACCACCCCGACCATCACACCGGACCGTGTAAGTTTCTTCCGGTCTCTGGTGATGAGAGCGTCGTATGTGGCACAGGACAGACCTGACATCGCGGAGGCAGTGAAATGCCTATCAAGAAGAATGCATGAGCCCAAAGAATCTGACTTTCAGGATCTGAAACGCTTGGTGAGATTTCTGAAAGGGAAACCACGTGTACTTTTGAAGTTTGGTCGCCAGAAGTTTGCTGACACGATCCACATGTACGTGGACTCCGACTTCGCTGGGTGTCTTCTTACAAGGCGCTCAACAAGTGGACTTGTGGCAACCTTTGGCCGCCACACGGTGAAGGCCTCGAGCACTCTTCAGAGCACGATCAGCTTGAGTTCCGGTGAAGCGGAATACTACTCGATCGTTCGAGGAGTTTCCATCGGAATGTCGCTACAGGAGATCTTGCGAGGATGGGGCCTACAACCAAAACTTAAAGTGCACACAGATTCATCCGCTGCGCTGGGAACATGTAACCGTCAGGGCTTAGGCCGCTCACGGCATGTTCAAACTCGCTTTCTGTGGGTGCAAGAAAAGCTTGCACTACATGAATTCGAACTGGTGAAGATCCCGACAAAGCAGAACGTAGCTGATTTGTGCACCAAAGGTTTACCTGCGAATGAGATGGAAAGACACATGCAAAGCATGGGGTTCGAGTACTCTCATGGTAGAGCCGAAGCTGCAAAGGCTTTGGAATGAGTGTACATCAGCTTAGGAAAATCCCAGCCTCTGTACAGGAGGGGTGACGGGATATAGGGTTCTCACTAGTTGCTACGCCAACCTTTGGCTCAAGAACACCGCTGCTAAAATAGCGAGTTGCATATTCTCCGTTCAATATATGTGTATATGTATATATATATATATATGTATATATATATAGAGATATGTGTGTATATATATATATGTATATATATATATATGTATATATATATATATGTATATGTAGATATATGCGTATATATATATATATGTATATATATATATGTATATATATATATATATATGTATATATATGTATATGTAGATATATGCGTATATATATATGTATATATATATATACGTATATATAATATATATGTATGTATATGTATATATATATATATGCACATATTTATACCATGTACATACGTGTAGAATCAGATTTGATAGGGTGTACAACCGAAGACAAGGACACACAATGAGAGGGCACAAGCCACTAGTAACATGGAGAAGATATATTTACGGCTTGGATTTCAAGCGAAGAATGAGAAGAAACCCACTTGGCAGTTCAGCCGGGCCTAATCATGTGCACATATTATATGTGCCATGGTCAAACATGGGGATTTTTCCCGGGGAAGAGATGGTGAAAAAAATGATAAACATCCGGATTTTTACCAACAACAATCAAGATATTTCATGGGATTACTTGGGTGAATTGCCCATTGACGGATGGGCACATCAATTCACATTACGGGATTTTTCTGAATTCCCAGTATGAATTCCCACATGGGATGACAATAGCACACCATAGCACAAAAAAATGACCATGGCACAGATAGTCATATGAACTGAATATATATATATATATAATCATTCATACATACATTACATACCATTACCATACAAATACATGTCTATAGTTGAAATTATCCAATGTTGTCCATTTGCTTGCATTTTGTTGTCTCAATCTATCTAGTCCCACCCCAACCACCGAAAAAAATGGAATTAGACGCACCATATTACATTGTGATCCCCGAAAACAATAGGTTCCATATTTTGGTAATGGTTTTCATATGTTATAGATGTATATCATCGTAATACACATACTTATACTATCATCCTACATTTGATAGACTATGGGATGTTCAAATATCTTCCCATTTTAGTTGCCGTTTTCTTTTTTAAGCGTCCAGAATTTCCATTCCTATCTACTCCACGATGACTATATCTATAGTGAATGATGTTAGTTACATTTCATGGGGACTCCTTCCTTCATATATTTCCGTATATATATATACATATATATATATATACATACACATATATATACATACATATTACATCATACAACATCGATAGATACATATTATCGATGGGAAAATCTACATTTTTTGGCCTCCATCCCATGAGTTGATGTGAAATCCCCGATGAAATCACCATTAAACCACCATGAAATCACCATTAAATCACCATTAATATACCCATATGGGAATGAAGTCCATTTATTAACTAGATACTACTAGATACTTTTCTGCATAATGGTGACTTAATGATGACTTACTTAAACAACATCGTCACCATATATTAAATCACCATCAAGTCACTATTACCCATTTAATCAATGGAAAATCACCATTCAAGTCACCATTAAGTCATCATATTAACATATTAACTAGATATTCACCACAAGAAATACATGAAATCACTATTAAGTCACTGTCACTAACCAGATATTCACAATTAAGTCACCACAAAGCCACCATGAAGTCACCATTAAGTCATCATTAAGTCACCATTCAATCCCATTAAATCACCATGGAATCACCATAAAATTCCATTAAATCACCATTAAACCACAATAAAATCAACATGAAATCAGCATAAAATCACCATAAAATCACCATAAAATCATAATTAAATCACCATAAAATCACCATGAAATCAGCATGAAATCAGCATAAAATCACCATAAAATCACCATAATCAAAACAAAATCACCATTGAATCACCATGAAATCAGCATAAAATCAGCATAAAATCACCATAAATTCACCATAGTCACAGCAAAATCACCATTAAATCACCATTAAATCCCGCTAAAAACACCATAAAATCATCGTAAAATCACCATGAAATCACCATTAAATCCCCATATAAAATCCTCATATAAAATCACCATATAGATTCACCATATAAAATCACCATATAGAATCACCATAAAAAACCACCATAAAATCACCATAACATCACTATAAAATCACCATTAAATCATAACTAAATCACCACAAAATCACCACAAAATCACCATGAAATCAGCATAGAATCAGCATAAAATCACCATAAAATCACCATAAAATCACCCTAAAATCACCATAGAATCACCATTAGATCACCATAAAATCATGATAAAATCACTATTAAATCCCATTCAATCACCATATAAAATCACCATATAACATCACCATATAAAATCACCATTAAATCACTATAACATCACCATAAAATCACCATGAACCCAGCATAAAATCACCATTGAATCACCATAAAATCACCACAAAATCACCACAAAATCACCATAAAATCACCATAGAACCACCATAAAACCACCATAACTCACCATAAAATCAACATTAAGTCGCCACAAAATCACTATGAAATCACTATAGAATCACAACAAAATCACCATTAAATCACCATACAATCACCATAAAATCACCATAAAATCACCATAAAAATCACCATTAGATCACCATAAAATCACCATTAAATCCCATTCAATCACCACATAAAATAACCATTAAATCACCATAAAATCACCATAAAATCACCATGTAAAATCACCAGATAAAATCACCATATTAAAACACCATAAAAGCACCATGAAATCAGCATAGAATCAGCATAAAATCACCATAAAATCACCATATAAAATCCTCATATAAAATCACCATATAAATTCACCATATAAAATCACCATATAGAATCACCATAAAAATCACCATTGAATCACCATAAAATCACCAGAAAATCACTATAAGATCACCATTAAATCACTATAAAATCACCATTAAATCACCATGAACTCAGCATAAAATCACCATAAAATCACCATAAAATCACCGTAAAATCACCCATAAAATCATCATTAAATCACCATTAAATCATCATTAAATCACCATTAAACCATAATAAAATCAACATGAAATCAGCATAAAATCACCATATAAAATCACCATATAAAATAACCATATAAAATCACCATATAAAATCGCCATAAAAGTACCATAAAATCACCATTCAATCACCATAAAATCACCATTAAATCACCATATAAAACACAATATAAAATCACCATAAATTCACTATAAAGTCATCATTGAATCACCATAAAATCACCATAAAATCACCATAAAATCACCATTGAATCACCATTGAATCACCATTAAATCACCACATAAAATCCTCATATAAAATCACCATATAAATTCACCAAATAAAATCACCATAAAATCATCATAAAATCACCATAAAATCACCATTAAATCACCATAAAATCACCATAAAACCATCATTAAATCACCATGAAATCACCATGAAATCACCATAAAAATCACCATAAAACCACAATAAAATCACCATAACATCACCATAAAATCACCATAAAACCACCATAAAATCGCCATTAAATCCCATTATATAAATCACCATATAAAATCACCAGATAAAATCACCATATAAAAACACCATAAAAACACCATAAAATCATCATAAAATCACCATTGAATCACCATTAAATCCCCATATAAAAATCCTCATATAAAATCACCATATAAATTCACCATATAAAATCACCATATAGAATCACCATAAAAATCACCATAAAATCACCATAAAATCACCATAAAATCACTATAAAATCACCATAAATTCACTATAAAATCACCATTGAATCACCATAAAATCACCATAAAATGACCATTGAATCACCATAAAATTACCATAAAATCACCATTGAATCACCATAAAATCACCATTGAATCACAATAAAATCACCATAAAATCACCACAAAACCACCACAAAATCACCATAAAATCACCATAAAATCACCATAAAATCACCATAAAATCAACATTAAATCACCACAAAATCACTATTAAATCACTATAAAATCACAACAAAATCACCATTGAACCACCATAAAATCACAATAAAATCACCATAAAAATCACCACAAAATCACCACAAAATCACCACACAATCACCACAAAATCACCATAAAATCACCATAAAATCACCATAAAATCACCATTGAATCACCATTGAATCACCATTAAATCATCACATAAAATCCTCATATAAAATCACCATATAAATTCACCAAATAAAATCACCATAAAATCACCATAAAAAATCACCATAAAATCACCATAAAATCACCATAAAATCACCATTGAATCACAATAAAATCACCATAAAATCACCACAAAACCACCACAAAATCACCATAAAATCACCATAAAATCACCATAAAATCACCATAAAATCACAATAAAATCAACATTAAATCACCAGAAAATCACTATGAAATCACTGTAAAATCACAACAAAATCACCATTGAACCACCATAAAATCACAATAAAATCACCATAAAAATCACCACAAAATCACCACAAAATCACCACAAAATCACCATAAAATCACCATAAAATCATCATAAAATCACCATTGAATCACCATTGAATCACCATTAAATCACCACATAAAATCCTCATATAAAATCACCATATAAATTCACCAAATAAAATCACCATAAAATCACCATAAAAAATCACCATAAAATCACCATAAAATCACCATAAAATCACCATTAAATCACTATAAAATCACAATAAAATCACCATGAACCCAGCATAAAATCACCATTGAATCACCATAAAATCACAATAAAATCACCATAAAACCACCATTAAATCATCATTAAATCACAATTAAATCACCATAAAATAACCATTAAATCACCATAAAATCACCATAAAATCACCATAAAACCACCATAAAATCACCATAAGATCCCGGCTTGGCACCGGCGCCCGGTGCGTAGGCGCCGCAGCTGGTGGCGAATCTGCCGGTGGCCTTGGAGCGCGGGGAGCAGAGCGGCAGCTTCGATCCCAAGTTGCCGCTGACGCGGCTTGGAACGCGGGGAACGGCGGTTGGGTCCTGAAAAATGATAAAAATGGTGGTTTAATGGGATTTAACCATGAACAATTATGATAATAATGGAATTTAACCAACAAAAGTGATGATTTTAATATATATCTATATATCATGTGGGTAAAACAATGCCATAAACCAACCATATTTTTATGGTTCATACCACCCATAAAAATGGTGATGACTGGGGGATGGTTTATGGCATTGGTTTAACCACATTAAATGAGATGTACATGATGAACAATGGGCGGTTTTATGGGTTTGATAGATGTTAATGATGAAGGCGTTTCGTTTTTTTGGTGTTTTTTTTTGAGAGTTGATGAAAAGGCTTGGTTTAATAAGGGAGCTTGGAGGCTTTTTGAACACCAAAAGTGGGAAAATTGGAACAACCGCCCAAAATTTAGATAATATCTTGGATCTGAGGCACAAATCACCAGATTCAATGGTGATATTTTATGGTCATTGGGATATCACCGACAAGGGCCGAGTTTTTCGGTTTTTAAAGTGGCTGCCCAAAAAACCAATGACCAATGACCAATGGGAGATTGACGTCCCAAAGCTTGGAGGGGATTCGCCAACGATGTGACAAGAAAAGAAGGGGCAATAAAAACCACTAGACATCGGAATCCAATCAATGTGGAGGTTTCTTAAACTGCGAAAAAAATCCCAAGTCGAAAAACCATGGTTGTTTAACAATACTAAGATCATGGATGACCATGACGACTGGCCCCATGGCACAGAGGAGTTGGTCAACTACCAATTGATCCGATTGCATCTTCTTATTTGAAGATAGATGTAACTATACCATTAATTATATACCATGTAATTACCCTCTGGTAAATTAACATAGACCCTGAAAATCACCAATTTTTAGTGGAAACTAATCTTCCAAACCCTATCTGGCAGGGTCTATGTTAATTTACTGGAGGGTAATTTATGTACATATGTATGCAGATGTATTACTATCAATTGGTAATTGCATATATGCATACCATTAAATATTACATCAATAGAATTCAATTACCGATTGATCTGATATTTGAGGATGATCATAATCCAGAAATTACCCTCTGGTTATTTAACATAGCCATGGAAAATCACCATTTTTGATAGGTAAACCATCTATAAATGGACCATTTTCCATGGCTATGTTAAATAACCAGAGGGTACATGAAATTACATCTTGAATGGTTGGTACTAATTCGGTTCCCCAAAAATGCCCCAGTCATCAACTCAAGTCCCCAAGTTTTGGCTGCCACATGTGGCCATGTCGCCAGCGCAACACTTGTCAGAATAGAAGGATTTCATGGTCAGAGTTCCATCTTGAGTATAAACAAACAGCTTGATGACAGCATTTTTCGTGGCTGAACTTGTTGAAAAAAGAAACGAACAATTCAGACCAACTAGTTTTTTACGGCATTATCAGCATCCCCACAGTAGGCTACGGTGCAATGGGGTGACCTCCCTTTGGACCAGGTTGATTCTGCGCGACATGAAAACCGCCAACGAGAGGCCTCTGCATTTCGAGGAGGCTGGACAGGCGCGGGGCGCCGCAAATGGTGACAGTGGAAGTGGCAAAATCGATCGCTCATTCTGCCGGAAGGGTCACTGATCTGAAGATCTTATCAAAAAAAATCCAGAGACTTGGGTGAGATTCTGGTGCTGTACTATAGATAAATGAAGGTTTCCTGAAATGGAGGTTCCCGTAAATCATCCATTTGAATAGGATTTGCCGTTATAAACCAATCATTTGGATGCATTTTGGGGATCCCCCATTGATGGAAGCACCCAAATAACATGTTTCCACACTTTTTCTCCAGATTCGGTCCATCTTCCCCCTTTTGAGGTGACCGTGGGCGAGCTGCGCAAAGCCACGCAACGTCGGGGGACTTCACTGCTGGATGATACTGTGGATGGACCTGGGAAGGTTGACACCCCATAGTGGTACAAACAACCTATCAACTGGATTTCTTCCATCCACAGCATCATTCAAACTGGGGACTTGTATGACTTGTTGAAAAAATGAAGACTTACCCTCCATCAAACATGGCAGAAATCACAGGAAGATCCAGCGTTGATGCTCCCTTTGCAGAGGATTTTCCATTGTCACGTTTGATGAATTACTGAAGGGTACCCAATAAGCAGGGTTGTAAGCAAGAAACTGGATAAATAAACTGCCTGGTGCAGGGTCGGTTTTTATGTTTTTCTTTGCCACCAAATAATGCGGATATATAATTATTACATATGACCCAGCGAAACAATGGTCGAGTACGTCATTTTAGTACTAAACCATCCATTCACTATCGATAACTATTGTACTAATTGTCAGTATTACTGCAAAATGACTTAACTATTAAGTATATACAATAAACCTGATTACTTAGTACTAAACCATAGCAGTAGCTGATTAACTAATGGTTTTCTATTCATCCATTTTCACAAGCAATAGCAAACGATCATCAGCCGAAAAAAAGCTGGGGGATCTATCATGATTTGACTATCTAGAATCAGGATATAAACAATATTTGGATACCAACTATAAACAATGATGATTTGCTTGGTGGTTTCAGCCAGAGCCTGATGATCCGAACATTTCCGAACAGTGACTTAAGCATCTCAGGAGGGTTGAAACCACCAACCAGATCATGTTGCTTCGTTTTGAGAAGATCTCACCAGAACTTGGCGATGAAAAAAACGCTTGGCCCGCCGTGGTATGCTTCCCCCATCCCCCGGGGCGCCATCAGCCGTTGAGTTGAATTTGAGCATCTGAACATGTCGAAGTTATCTAAACACTATGACTTTGTTCACGTATTACGCTTTAGTTGATATTGATATACCAATATAGTGTTTAGATAACTAATTGTATTAGGTAACTAACATGGTATATGATGTGTCATAAGTTACTAAAACATCATATACCAATATGACTTTGACGCTGTAGTTTCTTTTAGGAAGGACACGAGAGTATCAACAGTCAGGCGAAAGTGATGATTCTGATTCCCAACCGGTGCAATTCCACCAGTGCTGATGTAGCCATGAATATGGAATGTTATACCCTCTTAATTTTGTAGGTTGTTGCTGGTTAATAGTGGTTAATGACCATTAACCTAGAGAATTCATAGTTGTTAATAATGTTGTACCCTCTGGTAAACTAACATAACTATGGAAAATCACCATGCTATTAATGGGTAAATCAATGAACTGAATGGGTCATTTCAATAGCTTTTTGTATGTTTACCAGAGGGTAATTGCAGGGGTAACATCCCAACTTATGGGGTGAAAATTACCGTAGTCACAACCATTTTTTCAACACCCTGGCCTGAAGAAAAACATGGTACCTACGGTCGGTGGTGCCCCTAAGATATCACCTACGGTCGGTGGTGCCCCTAAGATAGCGAACTTGCTGAACATAGCTCTGATTTCACTCGGACTTTTGGTAGATCTAATTATATCTATAGTTAATGGGTTTATATACCAACAAGCATAACTGACGGGGGCCCCACATTGTACCAATTGATCTAGCGATCTCCAAGGCCGCTTTCCCGTGATCCTTTGTCGGCGCAAGGCTGTGGAAATCTGCTGGGAAAATGATCAAATGGTGGGGAAACCACATCTATCTACAGTATGTTTACAGGAGGGCAACCAAAAAAAATATGGAGTTCATCAGGAGATTAGTGGCTAATTAGTTGACCAACCATAGTTGGTTTCCAGGTTTTTGGGGAAAAACAAGCATCTCCAATGTAGATCCATGATGTTTTGTTATTTTTTTGTTATTGTCACGTGGATGTAGATGGATGTGTGAGCTTTTCTCCAATTAGTGCAGGTTTGTTGCTCAAAAAGCCACGATCCTTCTGTGCTGGAATGATTACATACTGTGTATATATATATATATATAGTAATATTTCTATTTCATGAAATTTCATGGATTGAAATCTCTACTTTAGTTGGGTAGAATCTCCATTTATAGTGTTGTTGGTCAAAGATCCAGTTCTTCAATTGTTTTATTGCTTCAAGAATTGAAACGTAGGTTACCAGGTTTAGAATTCCCTTTAGATCCCAATTCTTCATGGCGCCACGTGGCGAATCCGCGTCTCATTTCTTAATTCATCGCTTGATGAATTGGCCAGGTCAAATTTTTGGCCATCCCCGGGGTTTACCTGGGTCCATGGGTGTCCATGGGATACTGATACCTCCATCATCCATGTAATATCTTGATAATACCCATATGCGAACCATGGTACCATAGTGCTGGAATCTGCACACCAACATTTGCCCCTTCAGAAACACCCAGTTTTGTAGGTACATATACCAGCACCATTGAGCATATGGGATACTGCATCTTCAGTGCAGTCTATCCGTTAACACGGTGAGATATGGCAAAATCTCCATGAAATCAGCGCAGTAAACCAGCGGATGAGTTTTATAGCCATAAGCCATCCATAAACCATCCATAGATCACATTGCAGTAGAAAAAATGTCCCATCCATGGTGATCCATATCCATGTGAAGTCTTAAATCTCCCGTTGAAAAGTCCATCAGACAGCCGACTTGCCAGGTGAAGCTCTTTGTGATGGGTCAGCTTTTGGAAGACGACGCGAAGCCGCTGATGCACTTGCGGGGCATCTATGCACCTCGGCTGCCTCCAACCTGGCGTCGCGTTGGAACTGCGAATGCAGATGGAAGGTGTCGACTCTGAAAAGAAGGTTGGATCGACATCGATTAAGGCTGATTAAGGATCGAAATCTATGATTGGAAATTAATATCCCAATCTCCATTCATCCCAGATCCAAGGATGTTTTTGGAGACGGGATGAAGCCCGATTTAGCATTTACAAGCTCTTTTGGTCTGAACGGAGGCGCAACCAACACTTTCGTGTGGCCACAAACGAACTGTGGAATCGAAGCAACAAAGATGGGGAGCATCGTCAATAGAACCTGGGTTTATATATTCTACGTATGTATATGTACATTGAACAGAACTTCGGATCGCCTCGAAACCAAAGTGCATGTGGTCCATGGAATGCGCTCCTGAGGCGGTGGAGTCTGATCAAGTAATCCTGGTCGCGATAATTGTTCCAGTTGTTCCAAATTGGATATGATATGATATGATATGATTACTGTAAAGTTTCTACCAAAAACACGACATATATAAAGTCTTCCACATAAAAACAAAACGAAAGTGATGGATCATGATAGATCCCATCAGACACACGGCTCCCAGAAAGCATGGTGGATGGCCCATGGTGAATTGGGGAAGTCATGAAACATGGCGACAGATTTGAAATTTCACAGTAAATTATTATCCACATGAAATATGATACTGGTTGGTGGTTTGGAACCATGGAATTTTATGACTTTCCATTCAGTTGGGAATGTCATCATCCCAACTGACGAAGTCCATCATTTTTCAGATGGGTTGAACCACCGACCAGGATAAATATGCAAAATATATTATCAAAGGATGTTTAGTTAGGAAACTTCCGAGTTACGAACGATTGTCAAGGCCAGCTTTCTCACCATCATGGCAAAACATACAGTATGGATATACTTTGATTTAATAAGATCTATATCATACTGATTTAATATACATATACCTGGTTGGTGGTTTGGAGCATTTTTTATTTTCCATTTCATATATGGGATGTCATCCTTCCAATTGACGAACTCATATTTTATATATTTTTCAAGATGGTTATTGCATCACCAACCAGATACTTATGAATACACTTCAAAAACATAGAGATTCCATGTACATCTCTCGAAGATGTCCCTTGATTAGGGATCGCCCCATTCCTTGGTCTCAACTTTCTTGGAAATCTATGGGTGCACAAAGTACAGCCTCCATGGGAAAAATATGGGAAAATGTAGACTGAACTCCTAAAACTGGTGGTTAAAAACACATGTTTTCCTGTAGAATAACAAGGATGCCTTCACAAGGCGATTTCTTTTGTTTTTCGGAGTGCAAATATCAAACATGGAGCGACTAGTTCCCACACGTACAAGATGGAGCACCACCTAGTTATAAGATGCTATAAATTGGTTTAACCCCCATGAACTAGTTCGATATCTACCATAAACCCGAGTTCGCCTAATCAACTAAACCAACTTAGCTATCGTAAACCGGGTCAGCACCTTGTATATTCCATGCCATTCTCCCCATCAAGATCTTCATCTTAAATTCCATTAATTACAGTAAAACAATGATAACGCATCCCCCAGTCATCACCATAAATATATAGGTGGTATAAACTTCCCATTCCCAGTCATGGGTGGTAAACATTGACTTGTTTTACCCACATGATATATACAAATCCCATTAAAATCATCATTTTTGTTGGTTAAATCCCATTAAACCACAATTTTTTCATGGTTAAATCCCATTAAACCATATTAAACCCACATTTTTCATGGTTAAATCCCATTAAGCCGCCATTTTTTTCATGGTTAAATCCCATTAAACCATATTAAACCCACATTTTTCATGGTTAAATCCCATTAAACCACCATTTTTTCATGGTTAAATCCCATTAAACCATATTAAACCCACATTTTTCATGGTTAAATCCTATTAAACCACCATTTTTTTCATGGTTAAATCCCATTAAACCATATTAAACCCCCATTTTTCATGGTTAAATCCCATTAAACCACCATTTTTTCATGGTTAAATCCCATTAGACCATATTAAACCCACATTTTTCATGGTTAAATCCAATTAAACCACCATTTTTTCATGGTTAAATCCCATTAAACCCACATTTTTCATGGTTAAATCCCATTAAACCACCATTTTTTTCATGGTTAAATCCCATTAAACCATATTAAACCCACATTTTTCATGGTTAAATCCCATTAAACCACCATTTTTTTCATGGTTAAATCCCATTAAACCATATTAAACCCACATTTTTCATGGTTAAATCCCATTACACCACCATTTTTTTCATGGTTAAATCCCATTAAACCATATTAAACCCACATTTTTCATGGTTAAATCCCATTAAACCACCATTTTTTTCATGGTTAAATCCCATTAAACCATATTAAACCCACATTTTTCATGGTTAAATCCCATTAAACCACCATTTTTTTCATGGTTAAATCCCATTAAACCATATTAAACCCACATTTTTCATGGTTAAATCCCATTAAACCACCATTTTTTTCATGGTTAAATCCCATTAAACCATATTAAACCCACATTTTTCATGGTTAAATCCCATTAAACCACATTTTTTTTATGGTTAAATCCCATTAAACCATATTAAACCCACATTTTTCATGGTTAAATCCCATTAATCCACATTTTTTTCTGGTTAAATCCCATTAAACCATATTAAACCCACATTTTTCATGGTTAAATCCCATTAAACCACCATTTTTAGATGGTTAAACCACCATTTTCTTCGCAGCATTTTCTTGTTAAAAAACTTCCCCGTCTCCTTGTCATCTCCACCTTTAGGCAGGGGCCACGGTGAAGCTTGGGAGATCGGATGGCGAGCTGATGGAATGATGGTTATAGGTGGCTGCTAAACCTCTGTTGGTTGATGATTCAACTGGCATTTTTTTGAGGGATTTTCACCCTCAAACAAATAGGATTATAGTTGATATAGTTGATTCATATAGATGATGATAGTAGTTGAAATGGGATTTTAACCATGAAAATATTGGGATATTAGTGAATATAACTGATAAATGATGGTTGGTTGTTGGTAGTGATTAAATGGCAGTAGTTTTTCATGGCTGATGGTTGAATAAGTTGAGATTTTCATAGCTATATGAATATCTATATATGTATGCTCCAAAAAATATACCATCTATATCTAATGTCAACCCTGGATTAATAAACCCCAAACGGCTGTTTAATTGGGAGGGTACCATTAAAAAGTATCAGATGAAATGTCTACTGGAGGAGTACCCCCCCAAATGGTCATAAACCATGGTTTTTAATCCTGGGTTGACATTATATGGTTAGAAAAAAAGGGAATGATCCCAAGATCACCGAACATTTCAAGCGCCTGGGATTACTGTGTTTTTTTTTTTTAAACCCAGATGGCATGGCATCATTGAAACATCCAATCTACCCGCTGGTGACTTAACAATACTTAACACTTTGCCATTGAAAATCACAATTTCATACAATTTCTGTATTTTTCGTAGGTGAACAGATTATCGAATTCAAGCAATTCAATGGGGACGAAATGACATGGATTTCGGTGGTCGACCAAGCCACAGGTGAATGATGCCTAGGAATTGAGAAATCATGCAGGAGTATCATATATACATATACTTACAGACAGTGTATATGTATATTTGATTATATATATATGATTGTATATATATATATGATTATATATATAGATGATTATATATATGATTATATATATATATATATATGTGATTATAATATAATACACATACAAATTATGTTTCAGATTTGTGAAATCATATGCCAGGATAGATAGCAACTGGAATTCTGTTCGGATAGTGGTGACACCCGTCCTCCACGAATCGTCATACGAATCGTCGAGAAATCTGGTTGGTTCAAGGATTCCCCTGGAATCCGCAACCGGGGTTTTTCTTACACTTGGGTTTGTCTGAAAATAGTGTACCCCTAAACCCAATGGTTAATGATCATTATCCCTATTAAATGGCTATTTCATTGGGAATATACCCTATTTTCAGACAAACCCATGTTTTTTTCATGTTTCTTTACATGTTTCAACCATGTTCAACTTGTGAGGTGGCACAACCACTCCCGGGCTGCGTTGCTGAGGAATTTCATGCCTGGGGAAAGGTTTGTGGATCCGATGCTTGCGTCGAAGAAGAAGAAGAAGACCTTGCACAGTTTTTGGGCAGTTGGAATCGTTTTGGGCCATTTGGTGAAGGCTTTCTTCTGCTGGTTGGTTTGGAAATGTTTGGAACCATGGAATTTTGAATGACTTTCCACAAACAGTTTTTCCATCCCAACTGACGAAGTCATATTTTTCAGAGGGGTAGGCTCAACCACCAAGCAGTCTGTCTTGGGAGAGTTCTGCTTGGTTCTGAAACAATGGGGGGTGGGATAAGCATTGTCGATGGTGAAGTAGATAGAACAGATGAACATCTTAGATGGGCATCAAACTAGTGTGGTCAACCGGTAAACCCTCAAAATAATCATTAATAATCAACATATATATATATATAGACACACATTATATATATATATATAGAGTCTTATATAGTCATATATATATACATACATATGTACAGATAATACAATATCTTTATATATATATATAGCATCTACCCTTGTCAACAGCACTTGATGACGAAGCCGCAACTCGCCGCGGTGACACCGAGTTGCCGACGACTTGGATGGCTTCGATTCCAGCTCCAGCGAGGAGCGCTTTTGTCGCGGAGAGGGCGATGTGGCTTTGATGGGAAAAATTAAGGGGTTGGTAACTGTCCCATTTTGGGAATATTGAACATCACCTTATAGTAGCCATTATAGACCATATACCTAATGGTTGGGTGATGTTCAATGGGGACATTTAATGACCCATGAATTAAGGGGAATCCAAACCATTGGTATAGCTTAGTTGAATCTTAACAAGGTGAATCCTAAAATGATATGATATGATGTAACCATGGGTACATGCACCTATTTTCGTATATCTATAAATGGTATCACCAATGGTATTTTATATGGTATTATATTTAATATAAATGGTATTATATATAGATGGGTATACCATATAGGTGAAATCTAAACCCATAATGGTGAAATCTAAATATTGGTGATATCAAGGTAAATCTATTGCTATACCATATATTTATGTACCATATAGGTGATCTATTAGGTGATCATATAAATTAGGTAAATCTAAATTAATTAGGTATATCTAAATATGATAAATCTATTGGTGAATCTTAACCATTTAGGTCAATCTAAATGATAAATATATAGGTAAATCATACATTCCCCGTAGGTTATATCAAGGTAAATCTATTGGTATACCTATATGATGTGGCCCCCGTTCGATAGCGTTCAGTTGCCTTAGAAGAGTGGCTGAATTCTATGGTTTATGGTAGATATAACGAACTAGTTAATGGATATTAATGAGGTTTATAAACCGGCCTATAACTGGGGGGCACCATCCTGTATATGATCACTGGTATTAATGATATGTGTGTATACAATTGTATACATCTGATATTGGTAAACCTCATGTTATTTTTTTTTTGTAACTGGTATTGATGATACGTGTGTATACTGCCGTGCCACGGTAAAGTTACATGGCTTGTAAGTGGTATATTATAGTGAATGTTCCCCAATTCAGAGAATTGTCATCCCGGATCAGCCCTATGGACAGGGGTTTTTCCAATACCACTGAAAGGAATCGCATATGATCTGCGATGACCATTATGACCATGGTTGGCCGGGTTGCCCCCCCAGATGAACTAACACGGTCATGAAGAGATCTGCCCCATCTGCAATTAAGACATATTAAAACCATCAGCAATATCAATATCAGACATCTGACAATCCTTTTGGTTTACCAGTACCATGAATTTTGGATGCGATCTTCACGTCGCTTCACGTCGGCACGTCCTTTTTTATCGCATCCCCCATGGACTGCCCCGAATCGACGTTTTCGAGTACTGAAAACTGTTGGAAAATGGACTAAGATGGACCTTGATTTGCAAGAATTTTTGAGCGCCAACGCGTCAAATCCCAAAAAACGATGGGGAAAAAAATGGTCAGTGCGTGTTAGAAAACCTGTATTCTGCTTGGAATATATCTAGTGATTAGCTAAAATTTCATGGGATATCCTATGGGATTCAATGAGATTTAATGGGATATACTTATCTGGTTGGTGGTTTGGAACCATGGAATTTTATGGCTTTCCATTCAGTTGGGAATGTCATCATGCCAACTGACGAAGTCATATTTTTCAGACGGGTAGGCTCAACCACCAACCAGTATTGGATGGAGTCATTCCATTGCGATGATGTCGTCCATTCTCAGATTTCCCAGAGTCGGAGCGGACCTGAAAGCCAGGGAGAGTTGGCGTCTAGCGCGATTAGCCTATGATCTGTTGATTCATAACCCATCAGACGTCATCTTATGGTCAGATCATCTTATTATGATCTGTTGAGTACTTAGTAAGTGCCCACTATTATTACTTAGCCATTGTCATCTTACTATGTAACGATCGGCGCCCCACCAGGACCTAAGTCCCATAACGGCAAAGTGCAAGGCGACACAAACGGATGCTGGAGACGGCGTGATAGCTTGATAACCGTGACGGTTTGCTAACATGGAGGATGAGTTGATGAGTTGGTATCCTACATAGAAGCATTTTTATGGTAGTTTCCATAGTCATGGAGCTACCCCAAGCGAGCATTGGATGGTTTATAAATGGAGAAAAAAAATCGAAATTCCATCTAGAAATGGTTTATGAATGGGTGGGATATTATAAACCATTTGGTTTATATCCATAGAAAAACCATTTATAAATGTATGGACCGTATGGATGATAACTATAACTAGGGGTACCCCCATGACTTAGGAACGCCCCAGATGGCTTGGTCAAGTCCGGTGGTGGACGATGAACTCATACAATGAATCCATCACTAAGAAATGGTTACTATTTGCATCTGTATACTGTATACCTCACTGACCGACCTCAGCGTAAACAAAACGCTGGGAAAAAAGGGGGAATCATAGCATGGAACATGATACTTAGCATATATCTAGTGATTGGCTAAAATTTCATGGGATATCCTATGGGATTCAATGAGATTTAATGGGATATACTTATCTGGTTGGTGGTTTGGAACCATGTTATGACTTTCCATTCAGTTGGGAATGTCATCATCCCAACTGACGAAGTCATATTTTTCAGACGGGTAGGTATACCACCAACCAGTTATCATATATATATATAGTATATATAATCCAATAATTTCCACCAGTTGACTAACCATCCACCGATCCGCCATTTTTTCCCAGAAGTTGCTTCCAAGTCTTTCTCGCCGGTGAGAGATGGCTGATTTTATCCATTCATTGGGATATTGTCTGGGATAGATACCCAAACATCATTTTTTAGTCCATTTAACCGTGACAAACATGGTGATATTTGATGATATATGGTGGGATATATATATATATATACGTATATATATATATATATCACCAACTTTTTCATGACAAGTTGGATTTTGGCTAACCCCCTGGTGGGTTAACAGTTGGACCCTGAAAATCACCAATTTTTCATGGAAACACTCGTCTTCCCCTGCCAGGGTCATCATGTTAACCATTCGGGGATGGATCCCGTCCCAGGGGAAACCGCAGTGGGTATGGGTTTACCTCATTTTATCTCCATGAATCACCATTTTTGATAAGAGGCAATCCAATAAAATGGTATAATCACCATAAAATGGTATAATCACCATAAAATCACCATTTTAAATCCAATACAATTCAATTTTTAATCCCATTCAATTGCATGAAATCGCCAATAAGATTCCATTTTTAATCCCCAATAAGATTCCAATAAATCCCAGACGCAGGTATGTTCATCCCATCAACTTCCATGAATTTCCGATTCTGTAAAACATCCCATTCAATTCCATGAGCAGAAACGTCATGGTTCAATCCCCTGGAAAACAATCCCATGAAGAATTCCGTCAATGGTTTTTTCACGATTGACTATAAATTGATTCTTGGAGATTCACTTAAAAGAAGTTTCATTCTATTCATGAAAATCCATTGAAACACACCTTTGAAATTTCAATGATATATCTATATCAGTAAATTGTGAACTGAAAAACTTCATCTACATGAAAACTTCAATGTCCTCCCCATTGTTAACTGACAACTTAACTTAGTAAATTGTCAGTTGATGTCAATTGTAACATTGTTAACTGAAGTTAGTTTCATCTGGATTTTCCCATGAAAAACACCTCCCCATTGATCTGCGGCTCACCGCGCAGTCCTCGCCAGCTTCGCGTGTGGTGTCAAAGGACTCACAGGCGTTGGAAAATCTTGGCACATGCTGGAAAATGTGGGAAAATCCATGAGATTCACTATAAATGCAGCTGTTTAATGGGACAAATCTATGAATATCACCATCTTTCTACGGGAAATCCCGAAAATGGAGGTTTCTAGCTATGGAAAATGGTGGATTACATGCACCGTTTGTAGGTGATTTACCATGATTTAACCATTCACCATATAGTGATGATCCGTAGCAAACTGTTACAGTGAATTAACCAGAAGGTAAAGTGATTTCTTATTGAATTTCCCATTTGTCTGGGATTGATGGCGAATTTCTTCCCCGTTGGTGCTTCTTCAAGTTCTTATTTTATGGTCATCCGAGAAAGATCCAGCTGTCAGAAATGGGAAGTTTTTTCGAAAGGGAAACCCAACAAAAAATCATCAAAAGTAGGGATTCGCCCCATCAAGAATATTGGGAGTTGATCGAGGAACCGGGGGCCCGGGGGGGGATGTAATTGGGGGAAATTATGAGGTGACCCTTGGCAAGGGGTGAGACAAAAAAGCGAAGAGACTTCTTTTTTTTGTTGCTCGCCAAAAAAATTGGAACGTCTTGTGGATATGTGATGGGTCAAAGTTTGAGATCAAGGGACCACAGATGAACTGAACATTTCTTTTAGATTCTCAATCACCATTTGAAAAACAGCTATGTTAAATTAAATTACCAGAGGGTATCCGGTCTTCCGATAAAACCATTTCTCGATGATTCTCTGGTTTCTAAGCATCTTCCCGGCCAAAACGGTTGATTTTTGGCGGCTCTCCGGCTGTACCATGTTAGGGTCTGTCTGAAAATAGGGTAAAACCTGCTAAATGGCCAATCCGGGAAATGATGACTTACCAATGGATTTAGAGGTACCATATTTTCAGGTAAACCCACATTTTTATCTATTTTGAATCTATATTTTTGCATGTTCTGTTTTTGTGGCCAATTTCTTTCCCCAGCATTTTTTCCAGCACCGATCAATGGCCATTTCAGGAGCCGATTCATTGGAGGTACCGATTCCATATGATTTTTGGCCTATTTTTCAGGCCTCAATTTCAGGGAATATCCCAGCATTTTATATGGCCAAAAATATAGTACAGTACCCTCTGGTAAACTAACATAGCTATTGAAAATGGCCATTTATAGTGGATTTTCCCATTAAAAATGGTGATTTTCCATAGCTATGTTAAATTACCAGAGGGTACCTCCATTTTAGGATCCTTTTTTATTCCCATTGAACCGATGTTGTTTGAGTTCCTAACCCGCTCGCAGTGGCAGTCGCCAGCGAGGTGCGTGGGAAGGGTGGCCATAGAAATCGTTTATCGAAGTTAAAGATGGAGATGTTCCAGTTAAACCAGCAATTTTTTATGGTATTTTATGGTAGTAAAGATGGTAATTTAAGAGTTAGCTATTGAAAATGGACCATATAAATAGTGGATTTACCCACTAGCATGGTGATTTTCCATAGTTTTTTGTATGTTTACCAGAGGGTATCGAACTTAAAGATGGTGATTTTCCAGTTCGCAAACTGTAAACGTTTACCAGATATATTAATGTAGGTAATATTGGGTATATATATACATATATCTGGTTGGTGCTTTGGAACATGAATTTTATTTTTCCATATATTGGGAATTTCAAAATCTCAACTGACGAACTCATATTTTTCAGAAGGGTAGGTCAACCACCAACCAGTTTAGCTATCATAGCCCATTGTTAGTTGATATACCTATTAAAGATAGTGATTTTCCAGTTCGCAAACCACCAGTTTTGATGAGTAAATCAACTATAAATGCTGATTTTCCAGTTCGCAAACTGTAAATGTTTACCAGAGGGTAGATGCACAGATACCATTAGATACCCAAGTTTGACCCAGACCCAAGATGTACTTAGTCCTTGCTCCTCCAAAGGTCCATGGCTTCGTTGTGTGATACTCCCCCACGGCTCGTAATTGTTCGATGTCCCCAACTAGCCTGGTTACCCCAGTGAGTAACGGTAGCACAGGCTGATACCGTGTGCAATACTATAGAAAGCCAAAGCCTTTGGGTCGTGGTGACTGATTCTTCACTTTTGCGGTCTTGGCGAAGGGCAGTCGCCTCAGATTTGGCTGTCAGAAGTCTTGTCCCGCGGACAAATCTAGATCTGCATCACTTATCGGGGTACATGTAGCCGCCCAACAGTGCCTTCAACAGTGCCTTCAACAGTGCCTTCAACAGTGCCTACTCCCCAGTTAGTAACGTTAGTACAAGACTCAGAAGTGTCTGGCGGATGGTTTCATGATGTGACTCATGTGATAGAAAGCAGACGGAGACAGATTTGCTGATGGTTTCCATGTGGTGCTGATCCCAGAGATCCTGATCCCAGACACTGCTGCGCAGGGCAACTTCTCTTGAGTCAGCAAAGATGAGGAGAGGGGTCAAGAGTTGCCGACCAAGCCCCATGATGATTGATTAAAATGATGGTTTTAGTTTTTTTCAAATGGGACATTTCAGGCTGCATTTTAAATTGACATGGGTGAATGTTGACATTAGTTGACCATTCTTTGGGTATCCAAGTTTGACAGATCTCCCAACATGCACCGCTGACGCCCAGGGCTGGAAACCGCAGGGCCAGCATTAGAGGCATCGAGCACGGGGCTTCCTCCAGTGGTTCCACACCGCTTAAGGCGCAACGGTCATTGCAGGTTGTTTTAAAGGAGTCAGTAGCAAAAGTAAGGATAGAAATACCATGGAAATTTATACGCTTGTATAGGACAGGTGGCAACCTGTGGGAATCTAAGATATTCTAAGATTCATCTCCTGTTTGGGCCAGTGGCCAGGCAATCCATATTTACATGATCATTTATTATGCGCTATGGAACAGTCACATATATATATATATATTATATATAAAAGCATAGATATATATATATATATATAACTGGTTGGTGGTTTCAAACATTTTTTATTTAGCCCTTGGATCGAGAACCTGCCAGTGGTTGGGCGGCGCTAGCAGAGCCTCGATTGATCGTGTTCACCCGTTTGAGTTTCATAGCAATGGCCTTGTGGGGATCGGCTGGACCAGAAGTGAATTTTGGGTTTCATCCAGGTGTGAAGGTTGGTGACCGGATCGACATCGTTGCCAACATTGAGTCTGGAGTGGTGGCTTTTGTCACGCTGCTTCCTGGGATTCGGCCTGCTCGGATTGCTGGCGTGCATGACATTCCTGATGGATGTTTCAGTGTCTCTGCTCTTAGTGCCACAGTGGTGTCCTTGTCACCGTTGCCAACTTTTCAGGTGCTCGATCCCACTGACTTGCTCTACCATGGAAAGAGCACGATGGAAGACCATACCAACCTGATTGAGTTGTGCGCAGGGATGGGAATTGGAACCATTGGTTTTGAAACCGCAGGCATGACACCAGTTGCGGCAGTGGATTGGTCGAAGCCTATGACTGAGGCCTACCAGGCCATGCATCCGAATGTTCCTGTCATCCACGGTGATATCGCATGTACTGACACCATCAAGCAGTTGTACAAAGTGCATCCGAGGCCAGCGGTAGTGATGTGCGGCTTTTCATGTCAACCTTTCTCCACGGGAGGGGCGCAGCGTGGAGCTGATGATCAGCGTTCAACCACCCTTGGTGCTGCACTTCGCATTGCGTTTGTCTTGCGTAGCCGAGCTGTGATCTTAGAGTGTGTACAGGATGCCTCCACCAATGCAATGGTTCGCCGACAGGTAGAAGCTTTTCGTGATCAACTTCAGTTTCACCTTTCTGAAGCCATCCTTTGTTTGGAAGACATTTGGGTCTCCAGGCGAAATTGATGGTGGGCGGTTCTTTCGGTAGGTCTCTTAGGCCCAGTGAGCATCCGTGCATTCGATCCGTTGCCTGGTCCGTCTGTCCCCATGGATTTGCTGCCTGCACCAATGCTGCTGCAACCGGAACACCTGGCTCAGTTGGAATTGACTGGGGAAGAACTTGAACTGTTTCTGACCTATCAACCGCGGCTTTCCAAACTGTTCCTCAACAGGTCAGGTAAAGCACCAACAGCGTTGCATTCATGGGGTTCTCAAGTGACCAAGTGTGAGTGCTTGTGTAGGAGCTCTGGATTTCACCATGAAACGCTCATGTCACGTGGTTTGTATGGAATCCTTTTCCCAGTGGTAGGAGACATGAACCCAGCACACCCTGAGCAGCCACGTGTGCGCCATCCACACCCGACCGAGGTGGCCATCCTGACAGGGGTGCCAGAAATGATCTGGCCCAGCAACCTTCTGTTGTGCTTGGCGGGCCTTGGACAGCAAGCATCTCCGTTGCAGTCAGTGTGGGTGGGGGCTGCCTTGCAGCAACACGTTGAGCATGTTTTCCTTGGACAAAGCAATTTGGTGCCAATGGACTGTTTGGAAGACATCAGGGGCCGGGTTGCTGTCATTGCTGAGCATTTGGAATTTTCTTTCATTCCCCGTGATCCCCTGCCTGAACCACCTGTTGAAGCCAGTATGGATTTGTCCATTGATGACACGACCTTGACCCCGTGGGTTCACTTCACCCATCTGGGAGGACCCAATGAAGTCACTGTCATTCATGCTCATGATCCTGTCCCGTTTGTCACTGTGCTTGCTGACCCTTGTGCCACCGTTGCGTCTGTGCTTCAAGCCACTTGCCAGGTTTTGGACTTGTCTGAACCTCGATGCCGTGTTGTGGATTGCAGTTCTGGTTTGACCTTGGCTCCTCACCACCATGCCAAAGGCTTGTGCTTGTGGATTGTTTGTGATCCTGCTCCTGTTGCCGTCACCCCTGCAGAACCAGACATCACCCCTACCGTCCAGTGGCAGGCGGAAGCTCCTGACAGTCTGACCACTTCGGATCCTGATCACTCTAGACCAGAGCATGCCATTGCCTTGTCAACTGTTGATTCTGGACCTGAACCCTTGACTGACATGGACTCAAGTCGCTTGCGCCTGGTGGTTGAACCTTCTGTTCCAGATGCCATGTTCGTTGTTGCGTTGCGGAAGCAGGCCATGAGCGTGGCCACACGAAAGCAAGTCCTAATCAGGGCACACTGTGGGCCGATGATGAACTGCTGTGGCATATGGACCAATTGTTGCAGGCCGCCCGGAAGCCTAAGTGGGCCATTTTGGATCCTCTGTTAGGTGCGGAAGCGTTGAAGAGACCAAGTCATGCCTTGATTGAGCAATGGATTCAATCCCTTCCCACCAGGCCCACTGCCATCATCGGAGTGGTCTGTGTTGATCAGCATTGGATTCCCTTCCTTTGGACTTGGACTGTGCACTGCGTGATTGCGTCTTGTTGGGACATTCCTGGTCCATCAGCTCCTGGGTTGGCTGTCCTTCACCAAAGCATCGCCACTGCAGTTGGGTCCCGCACTTGGACCGTTCATGCTGTGCATCGCACTTTTGCCATCACGGAGTATTGTGGTTTGTGTGCTGTACGTTTCATTGATCACATGCTTCGTGGAAAGATGCTTCCAACGAACCTGGATGAAGTCAAGCAGCTGCATGCAGCAGCCCGTTCCATGTATGTCCAATTTTGGATTCATGTGCCACCGTTTGTCGGCCTTGGATTTGGGCTGCTGGACTTGATCCCAAAGCGTTTGATCGTCTTCAGTCCCTGCTACTTGAACATGGTGTTGACCAGATGCAACTGAAAAACCGGGCAAACTTGCTCATCCAAGCGGCTGGATTGCCTGCCGTGCAAAATGCCCTGACCTCGGGACAGCCATGGAGGTCTTTGAAAGCCATTGCCAACAAGTGCAGGCCCATCTACCAGCTTGTCCTCCCTGATGAACTTGAGCAGGTCGTCCAAAAGAAGGCAGAACAGGGTGGACTTCGTGCCAAGCGAAAGAAACAGCCAAATCCCAGTAAGCCAGTTGCCAAGCCAGAAGCACCAAAAGCACTTGACCCGGCCAAGCTTGTCATTGATGGTGACACGTTTACCACGCCTGATGGAACTGGCTTGTCGCAGTTGCAGATGAATGCCATTGGCCCACTGGCCCAAGGGGTTATTTTGACTACCCCAGATGAAGCCTCCGCTTACCTGAAGGCCGGCCAACTTGTCTCCAAAGGTGGACTTGCCCTCTTGTTGATCAATGTTGACGAAGGTCAGCTCTCCACTGCTTTGACATGGTCTTTCCTGCGTGTGGTGTTGCATTGTCAAGCCAACAGTGAGCCAATGATAGTGCCAGCAGTGCTGATCCAGCTTGGTCAAGTTGTGGTCGTCCCCAAGTCTGACCATGGTCCCTGTGATGTCCTTCATGCCCCTGCTGCTTGTTGTAAGGTTGCCGTGTACCGTGACCTTGTCGAGGTTGATTGGGCCCAGGTCATCAAATCTCCGGTCAAGTTTGTCCTTGCGCACCTTGCCCCACTGCAGGTCTGTCGCCAAAGTTCTCCACAGGCTCCGTGTACATGCACCAAGTGGCACCCAGCGTCTGATGCGGTGGTTGAAGATCCTGTCCTGGACGTTTGGCGTCGCCAGTGGGTCTCCATGTCGTTTAGGCCAGTGGCACCAGAGCAAGCAGATGTGTTCCTTTTCAACATGCGTATTTTGGATTCCTTGTCCCTCCGTGTTCTTGCCTGCAGCGGACGCCATGGCATCTTCATCGAACCCAGAAGTTTGGACGCACGTGATCCACTCCTCAGCTTCCAGGTTTTGTGGCTCCCCAAGACGCCATTGGACGAGCTTCTCAGGGCCCAGGTCATCGGCCTTGCCAGACTCGGCTCCCGTCTTGGAGTCAGATCAAAAGTGGAGGACGCCCCTGAACTTGCGCGCCAACTCAAACCAGGATCAATCTTCCTGGCGGCAGGTACCAAGGTCACCTACGAACTGGGGCCACTGCCATTTGGCATGGATAGGCTCACAGTTTCTCGTTTGTGCAGCCAGTGGGGGTGGCAGCCCAGCCAGGCCTTTGCATCCCAGCCGATCAGTGGACCCCTCGGCAATCTGTGGTTAGTCCAAGCATCCACTCCACCTCCTATGACTGTTGCCAGGTACCAAGGATCAGAGGTTGTGATCACCAAGGTCCAAGAACGTGCCGAGACTGCTCCTGGTGGAAATCCCTCCTCCCAAGTCATTGGCAGTACCACCACTGTCCAGCTGTGCACCAAGACTGCTGCTGCTCCGGCAACTGATCCTGGCCCATCCGCGCCAGCTGCACAGCCAATTGACCACACAGCCTCTCTCCGAGAGTTTGAAGCTAGGTTGGAATCCAAGCTTTTGGCCAAGTTCCCTGCCGACATGGATGTTGATTCCCAGAGCCAGACCGATGCACGATTTGCTGCGCTTGAACACCAAGTTCGAAGCCTCGTCATGTCCCAGCAGACCATGGAAGCCAAGATCGATGACAATGCAGTACGTGCTGACAACCAAATCGCCGCCGTCCAGGCGCAGGTCTTGCATCAACTTGACAGCCAAGGCCAACATATGCAAGCCCTTTTTGCGTCCCAAATGCAGCAGATTGAGGCCCTTCTTTCAAAGAAACACAGAACAGAATGATGGTGTCGCCACGCCCCTGCCTCCCGCAGTGGTAGTGGCCCTGCTTGTCTATCCACGTTGGATTTCCGGTTTTGGACTCCAGTTTTGATCCTTGGTGTTTGCGCGTATTGGGTTGGACTTTGGCAATGTTTGCTGTCCCTCTGCGTTGGACTTGGCTTCACAGTTAGCGTCGTG